AACCTATCGAAGAGTTATTGGAGCAAAGTGAAGAGCTGCGGGAACTGGTGGCCAGATGTAAAAGGGCAGTACCACGTCTTCAATAATGAGGAGGAGGATCGTTCTCAAGTCAGAGAGCTGCTCGACAAGATCAGAAATATAGCAGTGAAGAACGGGAGGAAGCCATTACACCACAGACATGTTCCAAAGGCAGAGAGGGCCCAGTAGAAGAGGAGAAACAGAGAATCCTTAAACAGAAAGAAGACGAAATGCGCAAAGAGGAAGAGGAACTTGAAAAAAGAATATCTAAAAAGTATGAGGAACAAATGAAGGAATTCAAAGAAGACAGGGAGAGGTTGAAAAGGCTCATTGAAACTCGCGAAAGAGAAATGGAGGAGGAAAGGAGGAGATTTAGAAAAGAGCAGGAAGAGCGGGCTAGACGGGAAGCTGAGGACAGAGGCTCAATACTTGACATTTTATTTGGCATATTTAAAGTAGTGCTTTCTTTTTTTATAAAATAACAGCTGATCTTGTTTGCATGAGACAGTCAGACCTTCTGATGCTGAACGGCAGCAGATTTACAAGACCTTTGAATGTCTGACTCCTTTTAAATCTTCATAGCCCACTTTTTTAATTTTGTTGTTCGCTTTCGTTTATTACTACGGGAGAGAAACAAAAACAACAGTAAAGAAAACTGAACAAAAAGCACCAACATCTATATAAGTTTAAATATTTAGAAATGAGTTGCTGGAGTAGAAAACAAGGCAAGAACACATACAGTATCTATGTATGAAGACACACATTTGATGATCATTTATGTCATATAATAAAATAATATAATTTCACATTGAGTGTTTAATGTGCTTTTATTGTTCAATGAAGGATTTAAAAAGAGAGGTTGAGTCCCATCCTAAAATAAAATCTCCAGTTCATTCACCATTGGGTCTAAATTCAATTTTTATAAGTTATCATAGAAAAAAGAAGCAACAATGCCTTGATACCATTATCATTACAATATTGAATCGCTATTAAACGTATCTTTATGTGCACAAGTCTATAATGAATTCCAAAGTCGTGTGTTGCACACTTTTATTTTAAAAGTACTGCTATATGAACAAAAGTGCAATAACATAATAATAATCATTTGGTTTGCTAACACTTTGAACAAATTAGGTGCTTCTTAACAGCAGTTTTCCCCTTAACACAGTAAGCAGTTAAAATATTTCTTCTAATCTTAACTTAAACATTAATCAAATATATGCACTATAAACCCTACGATACAAGCAACATAACGATACAAGCTACAATTCACAAAGGCTGGTTACATTCTATATGTACAGTGCCTTATGAATGGCATTTATGAAAACAGCTGCATTACTTGTAAAGGCTTTTTTGGAGGGTGAAAAGGGTTTGTTCAAGGTTTCAAGGCTTTATTTTCGAGGCTTTTATTGGTCTTACGTACATAGCTACAGTGACGATGAAAATCCTAGGTCACAGGCTGTTGATTACGCATCTAACGGTAATTAGATACAATGATAGGGGACAATAAAGGGTGTGATAATGTAAGTCAATCATTGAACAAGAGGTTAGATAACATCACGAGTGCACAACACACTAAAGTGAAAAACCTAGTTAGGAAAGAAATGGAAGTAAAATAGCTGATCCCAAACCGATTCGGCTATAGGCTGAAGCAGTCGGTCAATGTGCTTTACCATGGAATCATCGTATCATAAAGTCTCCTTTATTTATCTTTTCTCTCATGTAAGCTTGTTGTTGTTCGCCTTACAGTGGCTCACCCTGTGACTTTAACACGGCTGTTACACAAGTCATTGAGTTATTAGCATTTGACAGACTGAAGCTTGCTGGATAGAAATGCGTACAATATATTCTCCTGCCTTTTCTGTGAAAACTACAAATGTTTCTGTATCCCTTTTTTTAAAACTATTTCTAGGTACATGAAGCCATTAAAAGTAAACTGGAAATTAATGTTTTTTTAAATTTCTGTTTATAAAGGCAGCAGATTTTTCTACAACTGAATTGTTAAACGTCCAACTGTAGTGTAAGGTAAGACATCAATAAACTGTGATGTCAGGCAATGTCTGTATTTAAGGAGAAATGTTAGGTCAATAAATCTAGTGTTGAGTGCAATCCATCTAATGACATATTTATATAAAGATATAGCTTTTCAAGCTCATAATGAACAGATAGTAACAGCGTAGTGACGGGGAAAGAAGGAACAAGTTGAACATTTCTCAAACCTCCCAGCGGTCTCGTGAGCTTGGATGATTAACTCCTCAACGATCTGTTTAACAAGATCAGAAATAAAACAGAGAAGAAGGAAGAAGCTGAAATGTTCCAGAGGGCGGAGGATGGTGAAATAAGAAATGGAGGATGAGCTCACATACCTGAATATGACAATAAATGTTCCAACCTCTGGGAAAATGAGAGTTTAGGCAGGTTCAGACTCATTAAATAAAATATCCTTTTAAATATTTAGTAAAGAGTTTTGTATGTATCTTCGGGTTGTGCCATTTCCATGCATTTAACCAAAAGTGAGATGTCTGAACCAAAATGCATTTTAAAAATGTACTTTTATGTAATGGAACTCAAGAAAGTCAATAAAATGTTGTAACTCAGTCTGTGGTTTCCTGTATTTGAAATCAGTGTGTGTATGTGTACCTGTATAAGTTACGCTGTGGGGCCCATGAGTACTCAGTCACATCCCTACAGTACAATGTAAATGATTACGTTAAAGTTTAATTGACCCCTGTGTTCTGTTCACATGTTGCACTCTTTGGTACTGTTCAGCTCAAATTGACCCGAGCCAGGATAGCGGCTAAATACAGACATTTAAATGAACATACACAATCCCTAACATATGTTGAGTATATCTCAGTCTTAAAACATATATTATTTATGATTAATGTTTGCAAAAACTTTCTGAGGACTCATTCCCTCCTCGGAGTATCATGGCCTCAGACAAAGAGATGCTGCAATTCAAAGGCCTGGCTTCACTCTGTACGTTCAGTTTCTTTGTGGCATTTAGAAGAACAGGGGGCATTTCTTGTAAATGCTGAAGGGAGGGTTTACTGAGGGTAGTTATCTAAAAAGTGGAAGGAAAATACATTTGGATATTAAGGGTGTCAATCATTTCAGTCCCTGAATAAGAGGTTGAATAGAATCATATCACATGAACGTGAAAGCCTAGAGGGGAAATAAATGTCAGTAAATAAATGAACATGGTCAGTTGAATCACTATTAAGTTGTATCCTGAATCAGCCTGTCAATGTTTCTTTTGAAAACACTTTGACAAAGTTCAGGCTGCTGTAACAGTGTGGATCAGTCCCACACAACAGCTGCTGAAGGAGCTGGAGTCAAACTATAAATAGTCAGATAAAAGTAGCATCTAAAATCGCATTAATCTGGACTCTGTGTCAGTATCTGAAAATAAATCCCATTTGTGCATTGACATTTCAGATATAAAATACAATCACGAGGGGCTCAGGATTGTGATGGAGGGGAAGACTGTGGCTGTGAGGGAGTGTGGCCGTCTTTCACCGGAAGGTTGTGGGTTCGATCCCAGCCCGTGCAGCCAACATGTCGATGTATCCTTGGGCAAGATACTTAACCTGAGTTGCTCCCGATGGCATGGCCAACGGTGTGTGAATGTTAGGTCCTAGAGCAAGTGTACTGCTCTGTGTGAATGGGTGAATGACATGTAGTATGTAAAGCGCTTTGAGGGGTCGTAAAGACTGGATAAAGCGCTATATAAGTACAGTCAATTTACCATTTACTGAAGCTGGGAAGAGCTCCATAGGGAACAGCCTTATGGGAATCAGAACTTAAAATGAATCCCTTGCAACCGTACACTACAAATCTTCAATAAAAGCAAAACAACTTTGAGTTGAAGTTGATATGAGGATTCAACAGTGTGAGTTTAATTGAAAAGGAAGTGAAGAACAACTTGTTTATATCAAAACCCTGCTGAAGGTTTTGAACGTTTCCAAGCTTGTGAGTGCAGCATAATATGACATCCTGTCATGAACAGAGACTGAAAGCTACGGTTAAAAGTGTTGACTACAGTCTGCAGGTTGTTGTGGGATTTAGAACTGAGAGCATTTCTTGTAAATGCTGAAGGGAGGAGGGAGCAGGGTTAACTGAGGGCAGTTATCTAAAAGTGAAAGGAAAATACATTCTAATGGGAAATGTTGTTACGGTGAGTGAAGCAAGCAGGTGGGAAAAGTAAGGGTGTCAATCAGACTCTGAATAAGAGGTGCAATAAAATCATATAACATGAATGTGAAAACCTAACAGGGAAATAAATGGCAGTTTAAACACATCCATGCCCCTTCCCACCAAACCAGTTTGGTTCTAGCTCCGTGCTTTTCTGGTTCTGAACTGGTTCTCCTTTTTAGTCCCAGTTGTGTTCCCAGCCGCTCACAACCACAACGATGGTGGACTGCGTCGGGTTGATTCTCGTGTTGCTTTTAATAATATGAAGCCAGATTAGATTAAATCACTATTATGCCGAATGCTGAAGCTAACTGTCCATGTTTCTTTAAAACACTTTGAGAGCTGCAGACTGCTGGAGGTGCTTCAAACTATAAATAAAATGTAGCTCTACATGTCCATGTGACCTTGGGCAAGATACTTAACCACACATTGGTATGGCTAACGTGTGTGAGTGTGTGTGAATGTTATTCTCCCTGAGCACCTTGCATGGCAGCCTCTGCCTCTATGAATGTGTGTGAACGGGTGAATGTTGAAATGTAAAGAGCATTGAGGGCTTATATCTAAAATATATATAATCTGTTCAATTAAAACAAATCTGAAGACATGAGGCTGTATTTCCCCTTCTTCTGTTTATTAAGGGAAGGATGTTATACTTTTAATCTAATAATCCTCCCACTGTAGCTGAACATCAGACTGTGATGTCAGTGTGTGTGGGTGTGGTTTGCTGCATGCAGTCTGTATTTAAGGAGCTGTTGCTGCAGACTAACTTCACTTCCTCAGCTCAGCAGCAGACCAGCTCCTCCCTCCAGAACCAACTATGGCCAGCAAATCCGCCCAAAATGGCAAGTGAATAAACTGTACTGTTAATGATGATTGCAATTTATCTCAATATATATTCATAGATGGATATGTAGCTTGACATATTTCCTAATAATGAACAGATCAAAACAGTTAATACAAAATGAATATTTCTTATATTCCAAGCATTTTAAGAGCCTGGGTGATTTTGAGAATGCGACACAGCTTTTACTTGCTTGTATTACATTCTTCACAAGACTACATATTTAGGGGTAGCCAGTACGAAGTTTGTTTGGGCTCCTGACTATAACTAAAGGCAACTTACTTAAAAGTTTTTAGGCCCAAAATGGGGTAATTTGTAGAAGATCGAAAGATAGAAACTGTAGGTGCCATAACTACTTAGCTCAAGTTCTTTTTTTTATTATTATTATTATTAAGTAACCGGCACAAGCAACAGTGACAAGTGCAATATATTTTCAGTCATGGAAAAACAAAATGAAATAACCGCTTTATTAATCCAGCAACAGTGTCTATCATCCATGCCCAAGAAAGACATTCCAGTGTGTAATGGTGACCCACTTCAGTACCAAACATTTGTGAGATATTTTGAATGTAATATTGAAAGCAAAAACAATAACCCCAGAGACTGCCTCTACTACCTGGAGCAATACAACAGGACTGCCCAGAGACTTTGTACGGAGTTGCCAACATATGGCATCAGACAGTGGATTCAGCGAGGCCAAATGGTTACTGCAACAGAACTTTGGCAATGAACCTAACATTGCTACAGCATACATGGAAAGAGCTCTTTCATGGCCATTAATAAGGGCTGAGGACACAAGGGCTCTACAGGCATACACGGTCTACCTTAGAGGATGTTGCAATGCGATGGAAGATGTAAACTACATGTTTGAGCTCAACATTCCAGCAAACTGTTACGATTATTGTGTTATATCACGTTTTGTATGTCTTGTTTTGGGTGTTTTGCTGTTCTCCCTGTCGTGTTTTCCTCCTGTCGTTAGTTTCCCTGGTGTGTCTAGTTGTCTGATTGTGTTCACCTGTGGCCCTTGTGTTTCTCCTCCCCTGCCCGGCTGTTTCTCGTGTTGTGATTACCCCTCCCTGTATTTAGTCTGTTCTCTTCCTGTGTTCAGTGTTGGTTCGTCTTGTGATTTGGCTTGTCCTCGGTGAGTGTTGTGTTCTGTCTTTGTTAGTATAGCCTTGAAATAAAGGAATTTTCACGTTAATCTGCATTTGGGTCCTACCTGTTTCACACACCGTAACATTACGAACCAACCAAGAATGGACCCAGCGGACAGTTTGTACGAGGTGGAGTACAATTTGACATATTTGAGGAATTACTTTAAATATGCCTCCAGTAGTGAAGAGAGGCAGTCCGTTTCTTCTGCGGCACGCCAGGAGGTAACCTCAAGGCCCTGGTTGAGGGAGTTGCTACCCGAGTGGGTGGAGGACTTTTTTGGCAGCTTTGAGGTCAAACCTGATTCCCAACCTGCTAGCCCCAGGCATGCTAGCTCCATGTCTCCCAATTCCCAACCTGGCACCATACGCCTTGGTGGGTTCCGCCTGAAGTCAACCCGTGCTTCTGCCCCAGTTCCTGCTCCTGTCCAGGAGTTGTATTCCGGAACTCGTCTGGCTTATGGAGGTCCACGGAGTATTCAGGCGGCTGCTAAGAGGAGTCGTCGCAAGGCCAGGCTAGCAGCTCAAACGGCCATGGTTCCAGACCCAGTTCTGGCCCCAGCGGCCATGGTTCCAGACCCAGCTCTGGCCCCAGCTGCCACAGTCCCATCTCAAGTTTCCTCTCGAGTCCCCTCTCCAGTTTCTTCTCAAGTCCCCTCTCCAGTTCCCTCCCAAGTCCCCTCTCCAGTTTCCTCTCAAGTTCCTTCTCGAGTCACCTCTAAAGTCCCCTCTCGAGTTCCATCTCTAGTCCCTTCTCGAGTCACCTCTCGAGTTCCATCTCTAGTCCCTTCTCAAGTCCCTCCTCTAGTCACTTCTCTAGTCCCCTCTCTGGTCCCTTCCCGAGTCCCTTCCCGAGTCCCTTCTCTAGTCAATTCCCTAGTCCCTCCTCTAGTCAATTCCCTAGTCCCTCCTCTAGTCACTTCTCTAGTCACTTCTCCAGTCCCCTCTCCAGTCCCCTCTCGAGTTACCTCTCGAGTTCCCTCTAGTCCCTGCTCTAAACCCTCCTCTAGTCCCTCCTTTAGTCCCTGCTCTAGTCCCTCCTTTAGTCCCCTCTCTAGTCCCTCCTCGAGTCCCCTCTCTAGTTCCCCTCTCGAGTCCCCTCTCGAGTTCCCTTCTCTAGTTCCTCCTCTAGTCCCTCCTCTAGTCTCTCCTCTCTAGTCCCCTCTCAAGTCCCCTCTCGAGTCTCCTCTCGAGTCCCCTCTCGAGTTCCCCCTTGGTTCCCCTCTCGAGTCTCCTCTCGAGTCCCCTCTCGAGTCACGTCTCAAGTCCCTACCCAATGTCCTGGTCCGTTGGAGGTTCCGCTGGGGGTCCTGCCAACTCCAAGTCCTGTCCTGTTGGAGGCCCCGTCTACTACTCCTCTGCCGGGGGTCCTACCAATCGTATGTCTGTCCCGTCGGAAGTCCCGCCGTTTACTCTCCTGCCGGGGGTCCTGCCAGCTCCTTGTCCTGTCTCGTTGGAGGTCCTGCCGACTACTCTCCTGCCGGGGGTCCTGCCAACCCTTTGTCCTGTGCCGTTGGAGGCCCCGCCGACTACTCTCCTGCCGGGGGTCCTGCCAACCCTTTGTCCTGTCCCGTTGGAGGTCCCGCCGTCTACTCTCCTGCCGGGGGTCCTGCAAGCTCCTTGTCTTGTCTCGTTGGAGGTCCCGCCGACTACTCTCCTGCCGGGGGTCCTGCCAACCCTTTGTCCTGTGCCGTTGGAGGCCCCGCCGACTACTCTCCTGCCGGGGGTCCTGCCAACCCTTTGTCCTGTCTCGTTGGAAGTCCCGCCGTCTACTCTCCTACCGGGGGTCCTGCCAATCCTATGTCCTGTGCCGTTGGAGGCCCCGCCGACTACTCTCCTGCCGGGGGTCCTGCCAACCCTATGTCCTGTCCCGTTGGAGGTCCCGCCGACTGCTCTCCTGCCGGGGGTCCTGCCAATCCCGTGTCCTGGTCCTCTTCTGTGGGGGATCCTGCCGAGGCCTGTCCCACCAGCTCCGACACCGGGTCCTGCCCAGCCTCCGGCGCTGTCCCGTCAGCGCCTTCCTGCCCGGCCCTCCGGAGCTGTCTGGTCATCACACTCGAGCCCGGCCCTCTGAGAGCCGCAGTCTTCACCCTCGATCCCGGCCCCTGAGAGCCACGGCCTTCGCCCTCGAGCCCGGCCCCCTGACTTTCCCGGCCGCGGCCCTCGCCCCTCATGCTCTTGGCCCCCTGAGTTCGCCCGCGGTGGCCTTCGCCCGTCCATAACCCCCACATTGGACTCTGTCTTGCCCCCGGGCCGTCCGCCCGAGTCCCCCTTCTCGGCTTCTGCCTTGCCCCCGGGCCGTCCGCCCGAGATTCCCTTCCGGGTCCTCCGCGGTGCTCTTTGGTTGTCAGCCCAGACCCATCCTCCGGACCCCCTCCACCCACCCTGGTGGCCCTAGTTTTACCCTCCCTGTATTAGTCTGTTCTCTTCCTGTGTTCAGTGTTGGTTCATCTTGTGATTTGGCTTGTCCTCGGTGAGTGTTGTTGTTCTGTCTTTGTTAGTATAGCCTTGAAATAAAGGAATTTTCACGTTAATCTGCATTTGGGTCCTACCTGCTTCACACACCGTAACACAAACATGCTAGCCATTTTAAAGAAACTTCCATATAGGCTGAGGGATTTATGGAGAACTGTAGCATGTGACATCCAGGAAAAAACAACACCAAAGAGCTGCCTTCAAGGATATTGTGGAATTCCTTGAAAGGCCAAGTAAAAATTGCTACAGATCCCATATTTGGGGACATTACAGACCCCCCTCCCGTAAGCAAAGGCATAAGAAGGCCACAGCCTCATCCAAGAGGAAGCATCTTTGCAACCAATGTGAAAGTTACAGAAATAAATATGACAGAAAGCACTGTAGAGAAAGGGATTTTGTCTGCTGTGAAAAACTGCTTGTATTGTAGATGTGAACATGCTCTGGAGATGTGTCCACAGTTAGAAAGGAGGACACATCATGAAAAAATCACATTTCTTAAAGAAAATGGTCTTTGTTTTGGCTGCCTGTGTAAAGGACACATAAGTAGAGACTGCAGTAAACGAATGAGGTGCAACATATGCCAATCTAAATCATCCCAGAATGCACATCTACCAACAAAGAAGGAAATGGAAAATGAGCAGGAGGAAATGGAAGAAGCATCTGCAAACACTGCTGAAGCCTCGAGTCAGACAGGTGGCCTTACTGGGGCCGGGGAAGATGGTAAACTCTCCATAGTACCAGTCCAAGTTAAAGCCAAAAAGGGAAACACAACAGTGCATACCTATGCATTTCTTGACCCAGGCAGCACTGCATCGTTTTGCACATTAGGGCTTATGAACAAACTTAACCTCCAAGGAAGAAGGTCAAACATTCTGCTGAGAACTAAGATATGGGTCAAAGGAAGGTCGTTGAAACCAGCATTGTGTCAGGCCTTGAGGTTGCTGGACTGGATAACAGCGACTTTTGTGATCTACCCGGCACATACACTCAGAAGACTATGCCCGTGCACAAAGGAAACATTCCACGTCAAAACGACATCAATCAATGGCTGCATTTGAGGGATGTTTGTCTACCTGAAATTGATGCTGAAATTGAGTTGCTGATTGGTTCAGATGTTCCAAAGGCCCTTGAACCAATTGAGGTAATCAGGAGTGTGGGGGATGGACCTTATGCCGTAAAAACCATGCTCGAATGGACAGTTAATGGACCATTAGGAGGATGTCCTGATGATACTCAGGACAAAACTTCAATAAGTGTAAACAGAACATCAGTTGTGCCACTTGACAAGCTGTGGGAACAGCAATTTAAGACTGACTTTCCCGAATGTGGGAGAGACAACCAAGAACCTTCCAGGGAAGACCAACAGTTCTGGTTTCAAAATCTGCCCACCTAGTCAATGGACATTATTCTATTGGTTTACCATTTAGAGAAAAGGAAATATGCATGCCCGACAATAAAGGTGTTGCTGAGCAACGCACTCTGAACCTTAAAAGAAGATTTAAGAGAGATCCTTCCTTTCATTCTGATTATACCAACTTTATGTCTGAGATGATATCTAAAGGCCACACAGAGAAAGTACCGGATCATGTCTTGGAACGTAGAGACGGCAAAAAATGGTATCTACCACATCACAGAGTTTTGCATCCACAAAAGAACAAACTTCGAGTAGTGTTTGACTGTGGAGCAACATTTCGGGGAGTTTCACTAAATTCTCAGCTCTTCCAGGGGCCGGATCTGACTAGTACTTTGCTGGGAGTTTTGTCAAGATTCCGTAAAGATTCTGTTGTCATCACTGCAGACATCGAAGCCATGTTTCACCAAGTGAAAGTTCCAAGTGAAGACCGTGACTTGTTACGGTTCCTCTGGTGGCCTGATGGAGACTGCAGTCAGAACCTGGTGGAATATAGAATGACCGTGCATCTCTTCAGAGCAACCTCATCCCCAAGCTGTGCAAATGTTGCCCTTAGGAAATGTGCTGAAGACAATCTAGAACATTTCAGCCCTCAAGCCATAAATGCAATTATGAATAACTTTACGTAGACGACTGTCTCACTTCAACAGCTTCAGAAGAAGAGGCAACAGCACTTTATCATGAACTACGAGCCATTTGTTCCAAGGGAGGCTTTCTACTAACAAATGGATAAGTAACAGTCGCATGTGTTGGCTGCAATACCTGAAATGGAAAGAGCAAAGGAAATAAAAAATCTGGATTTGGACCATGACAATCTTCCAGTGGAGAGAGTGCTGGGTGTACAATGGTGCGTTCAGTCTGACGTCTTCAAGTTCAAAATCATCTTGAAAGATAGGCCGCTCACAAGAAGGGGGATTCTCTCAAGCGTCAGTTCAGTGTATGATCCCCTTGGAATATTGGCACCAGTTGTCCTCACTGCAAAAAAGATCCTGCAAGATTTGTGTAGCAGAAAGCTTGGCTGGGATGACAAATTACCAGAATCTATCTTACAGGAGTGGATGAGTTGGACCCAAGACCTTCATAAGCTGGAAGACTTCAAGGTTGCCAGAAGCTTCAAACCTACCGACTTTGGAACGGTGTCATCTGCTCAAATGCATCATTTCGCTGATGCTTGCGAAGAGGGTTATGGAACTGTAAGTTACCTGTTTCTGCAGAACAACTCTGGCCATTCACATTGTGGATTCGTAATGGGAAAAGCAAGAGTGGCTCCGTTAAAACCAGCCACTATCCCTCGCATGGAGCTGACTGCCACTACTATGGCAAGCCGAATAGACACCATGTTAAGAAGGGAGCTACAGATGGAACTATCAGATTCTGTATTTTGGACAGACAGCACTTCCGTACTCAAATACATCAACAATAACACCTCAAGGTTCAGAACTTTTGTAGCCAATAGAGTTTCGGAAATTGCCAAAGTATCAAATGCACTACAGTGGAGATATGTTAACACCATAGACAATCCAGCAGACATGGCTTCACGATGTTCGATTGTAAAATATTTTCTGAAGAAAGAAAACTGGTTGTCCGGACCTCAGTTTTTACTTCGACCTCAAGAAGAGTGAACCCAAAACCCTGATGGATTGAAAGTAATCTCACTAAAGGACTCTGAAGTCAGGAGCATAACCGTTAACACTACTCAGATCATGTCCGAGGAAATGGATCCTGTCAACCAATTAATCCATCACTTTTCCTCTTGGAATGGTTTGAAAAGGGCGGTAGCATGGATGCTCAGACTTAAAAGACTGCTTTTGAATCGCAGCAGAAAGAGAAACCAAACAAGTGTTGTTCTTCCTTAACTAATTCCAGATAACATACATCAAAGAGGTCTATCACAAAAGGAGAGAGGGAATCTCAACAGGCAAGAAAACAATGGTCTCACAGTTGAAGAACTGGCAAACGCTGAAATGAAGGTAATCTGTTTCTGCCAAAGAAAGAGGTACACCGATGAAATCTCAAATCTGAGAAAAGGAATAAACGTCAAGAATACCAGCCACCTTCATAAACTCAACCCCATCCTGGAAAATAATGTGTTACGGGTTGGTGGACGACTTAGCCGGGCAGCAATGCCGGAGGATATGAAACATCCTGTCAAAGTGGCTAAAGACTTTCACATTGCCGATCTTATTTTGCGAAATGTTCATGAAGAAGTGGGTCATGGTGGTCGCAACCATATGTTATCCCGACTACGGCGACAATATTGGATTCCTGGAGCTACCGTAGCAATAAGAAGAACATTGTCGAAATGCGTAGTCTGCCGGCGTATAAATGCTACTCCTGGACAACAACAGATGGCGGATTTGCCCCTGGATAGAGTCTCTCCTGATGAACCTCCATTCACATATGTTGGAGTTGATTATTTCGGACCCTTTGGAGTGAAGCGTGGAAGGAGCATTGTGAAACGTTATGGCGTCATTTTCACATGCTTAGCAATAAGAGCAATTCACCTTGAAATGGCATCATCTCTTGACACTGATTTGTTCATCAATGCGCTACGGCGCTTTATAGCTAGACGTGGTCAAGTCAAAGAACTCAGATCTGACAATGGCACTAATTTTGTAGGATCCGAACGTGAGTTGAAGGAGGCAATTGAAAGTTGGAATCAAGGTCAGATCCACAATATACTTCTCCAGAAAGGAATGCATTGGATCTTCCATCCCCCAGCTGGCTCACATCATGGAGGTGTTTGGGAAAGATTAATCAGATCAGTACGAAAGGTTCTCAACTCCACTCTGAATGTACAAAGTCTCGACGAAGAGGGACTTAACACAGTCTTATGTGAAGCAGAAGCTATTCTCAATAGCCGTCCAATCACCAAAGCTTCTACAGTTCTAAACGACCTAGACGCACTGACACCGAATCATCTTTTGCTCCTTAAGACAACACCATCCATGCCACCAGGACTGTTTCAAAAGGAAGACATTTACGCTCGCCGCAGGTGGAGACAAGTTCAGTATATGTCAGACTTATTCTGGAAAAGGTGGATTCAAGAATATCTTCCCCTACTTCAAGAACGACAGAAATGGTCAAAAATCAGACGCAACTTCACACCAGGAGACATCGTGATCATTATGGATGACTCAGCGCCTCGGAACTCCTGGCTTACTGGAAAAGTTGCTGAGACCATCGTTGACAAAAAGGGACTTGTGCGTATACTTCGGATCAAGACCAAGACTGGTTTCCTGAGCAGACCAATTAAAAAAGTTAGCCTTCTTCAGGAGTCAGAGGACTTTTGCCAAGTCTAAATGGACTATTTTTGCCTATTTTATTTTTTGTCTCCTACCCCCTGCAGACACACAAACCACACTAATCATTTTTATTGATACTGATTAGTGAGAAAAGATGATCACTTTTCCAAAAAGACTGCAACATATGAACTCTGAACAAATAATCCAAGAAAGAGATCTGGATGTATATTTTGTGTGTATTGTCATTTATTATAGTAATTATAATTTTGTGAAATGATAATTAGGGGCCGGTATTGTAGGTGCCATAACACTACTTAGCTCAAGTTCATTATTTGTATTATTATTATTATTTACGTCACCTTTATTTGCTTGTTGAGCACTTCCGGTAATTGTTACATGGGTGTGGTTTGGTTCATAAGTCACCAGAGGGTGAGCTTGTGCTGTCATTTTTTCAGTTGACCGTTTTGTCCATAGTTACTATGTTTTGATTTTGTTTATTAAATATCCTTAAAACTATATTGCTTCAACATGGACTTTCTTTTCGAAAACGCGTCACAGTTTAAAGCCAAGTTTAGCCTCTCAGCAGCTAACTCATAGGGAGTTATTGCCCCTACAGAAACTAAACTGTGACTATTTGTAAAAAAGGTTTTCTTATTAAAATAAACATACAGCTAGAGGCCACTGCTGCACCATGTCAGTTCAGGTTGTACACAGTTAAGAAGTGAAACATTCAGACAAGATTAACATTTAGTTTGATTGTAATTTCCTGTATTTGTCTTGATCTGGTAGAGAAAAGACAAGGTCCCTTCAAGGTGTATCTCTTGACATTGACAGACCCAGTACTTTTATCACCAAACCTGCCATTCACCTAATAAACGCTTTCTATGGTGCCAATAGCATCTACAGGAATAAATGAAAAATATCAATAGAATGACATAGAATCTACACATATTCTAGATTATTAAAGCATCTTGAGCCCACCCCCCTCACTGTCAACATTGTTCATGTTGTAGTTGAACAATTTTTATAAAATACCGAGATTGCTAAATATTTCTTAATTGTTTTCAGACCTCCCATCAGAATCGAACACATACAATGATGAGGTTCTCCGGATTGTGATGGTGGGGAAGACCGGAGTTGGAAAGAGCGCCACAGGAAACACCATTCTGGGAAAAGAGCACTTTAAATCAGAGTTCTCTTTTGAATCCTGTACTGTAAACTGTTCTAATGCCTTTGGTAAAGTTGATGAACAAAGAGTTAAGGTTATTGACACTCCTGGTCTGTGTGACACCAAGGTTGTAGAAGAGGAGACCAGAAACGTTGTTGGCCAGAGCGTTTCTTTTGCTTCTCCTGGACCCCATGTCTTCCTGGTCGTCATCAAACTGGGCAGATTCACAGAGGAAGAAAAGCAGACGGTGCAGAAGATTCAGGAAATCTTTGGAAAGGAAGCAAACAAATACAGCATGGTTCTCTTTACCCACGGTGATCTGCTCAAAGGGACTCCCATGGAGAAATGCTTGAAGAAAAGTGAAGAGCTGACGGACCTTGTGGACAGATGTAACGGGCAGTACCACGTCTTCAATAATGACCTGAAGGATCGTTCTCAGGTCAGAGAGCTGCTCGACAAGATCAGAAATATAGCAGTGAAGAACGGAGGAAGCCATTACACCACTGACATGTTCCAGAAGGCAGAGAGGGAGATAGAAGCGGAGAAACAGAGAATCCTTAAAGAGAGAGAAGAGGAAATACGCAAACAGGAAGAGGAAATGGCAAAGATAATGGCAAAAAAGTATGAGAAATAATTAAAAGAAGCCAAAGATGACATGGAGAGGATGCAAAAGATAAAAGAAGCTAGCAAAAGAGAAATGGAGGAGGAGAGTTGGATAATAAGAGAAGAGGCGGGATGGAAGGCCAGAGAGGAAGCTGAGAGAAATCAATCTAGCTGTACAATTTTATAGATTCCTTTTTTAGATAATACCTAACAACTGAGATGTTTAGCATGAGAGAGTCTGACCTTCTGAGGCTGGACAGCAGCAGATTTACCAAACCTCCTTGCTCATCTTCAGTCCCCTTTCTGATGTATTTGTTTGGTGTGATTTATAGTTATATCAGTTATTTCTAGGTTTGCGTGGTTTGAACAAATACTAAACAAATGTCACAAATTGTCCAGAACCAATATCTCTGATTTTCTCTTTGATTGCTATAACAATCGAAATGTTCAAATCTTTATATGTAATGAATTTTGAAATCAAATATGAAAAGGTTGGAACACAAATTAATGTGTAAAGACAAACATCAGGTGATTAATAGTGTGCCATAATAAAAGACTCTTGAGTTCACATTGAGTGTGTTATGTGCTTTTGTTGTTTAATTAAAGAGGGTTTTAAGGGTCTATCTTATTAGAAATCACAGTATTATTCACCACTGGATCTAAATAATTGTTTTCATGTCATTATAGAAAAGAAGAAATAATGGAAATGAACGTGTGCTAAATCTGAGCATTTTAAATCGTGGTAACTTTAAGGATTTTCCATTATTGGCCTTTATATCCAGAAAATACCTTAAACTCATTAATTATCTCAATAATAGCTGAACTTTTTAATTGGTTTGGAAAACCAATCACAGCTTTAGAGAGGTACTTTAAGGAACATCTGGTAAATACATTTGTTGGTAGCATGACACTTCTTCTGAAAACACAGCCAAGCAGTTTGCATCAACACATGCATCTAAAGGGATAAGTTATCATGGAACTATTTATCTTTGTTTTAAACATAAGGGTTCTTTGTAAACAGATATTACCCAGTAGTATTCACGTGTTAATAAGCACACTATTTAAATAAATTCAGTCAATTAAAACATGTTCTAACAAATCTTAGTTTTCAAAAAAAATCCCAATAACTTGAACAAGCTTGAAATAGACCCTTCATATTTCCCCTTATACTGTAAGTAATCTGAGGCTTCTGTTTTAAGGAATGAGCTGAAAACACTAAATAAAGTAAACCCTCTGGAGAGCTGAGATGAAGGCTGTTTGTTTCTTGAAGCATATTCTAGTATCAAGAATAATTGACCTACTTTTGATAGATTTTGCTAACTTATAACGTAACTTTTGAGGCTGTATACCTCACCTCTAGTGAGAGGCTCAGCTCTTGGTAGGTTTTTCTTTTATGGTGTTTGGACACCCCTGATCTAAATAATACACAATATAACGAGTACTCTACTCTACATTACTGTCTCACTAGGCTACAGGAATAGAAATATACTACAGACACAGAATGGCGGTGGATTTAATATACATTATAATTATGCAAACTGTTCTGGGTTATAGAAGAGGAGACACTTAGATAAGCTCTGGAGTCCTCGACCAATCAGGGGGGAGGTGTTGATCAAATTATATTTATTTTACACCAGATCACATTACAAACCTTTAAAAACTGAATTCTGTAAATGGTGTTGATTTAGTTCAGATAAAATACATACTTACATTACACAAACATTATAAAATTAAATTAAAATTATAATAAAAAATAGACTTTTGCAGCTAATATTTTAATACGTTTTAGTGCTGGTCAGAAGGAATGCTCGGATATTAAAACATAAGAACATCTTTTATTTTATTGCATTGTAGTTCAAACATTTTGGGATGCTTTCCAGCGTTGGTTAACTTATAATGAACCAAACAGCCCAGTCCCAAAACATGACAATATAACATTCAGCTTTCAATTTGAAAACAAAAAAACAGAGTTTGGAATTAGCAATTTATTTCAAACTGAAATGTCGCTTTCTTAAAACATCCCCAGTATTAATTGGTTTTCTTAATGATATGAAATTATACCAACATTTTTAAAAAGCCCAACAATTTTACAACATTTCGAAAACACCTTAATTCCTGAGAGACCCCTTGTGTTTCATTTTCAGTGAATGCCCTACTTTTTTTTAAGTGCATTTAGCTGATGTATTGGAATACAAAATAACTGGCAGGGGAAGGCTAATGTTAGAGTGCTAAGTTGCACTAACTCTCCTACTTTTTTAATTATATTTACTCCAGAGATGAGTAATGCAAACACAGAATGAATGTAATGGTGTTGATTTAGAACAGATAACATATATTATGCTCTCACAAAGAGTGAGGGTCCATTCCAGCAAAAGTAAATGAGTCCAGGATTATTAACAAACAACTTGACCCGGTTGTTTGAGTTTATCGGATAGCTCTGCCTTTGGTGTCTCCTTGCTCCTTTCTTATAGCTTCTATGGCATGTAAATATGATTTGGATATGATGTGTTTTATTGAACCTTTTTGTAGCACATTGTTAATATGACCACTACTGCCCTTTGCATGTGGAAAGTAAACAATGAAGTATTTATTTCCCTTGTAAAGCCTGTCCTGCAGCATGTGTGGTCTGCTGCTGCGGGGGGATTCCTTCACACAGCGTCTGTCTGATTGTACTGTCTCTCTACTCAGATTTAAAAACAGGTTTTCAGGAAACCTAGAGCTGAAACTAGAGTCTGGGGAGCCGAGGAGGAACGGCCGAGAGGAGGAACGCCTGAGAGGAGGCACAGAAGACGAGTGCAGCAATTGTGTGTCTGACCTATTTCAAAACCACCCACACACTCCCCTCCTCCATGACCTCCGTCTGCAGTCCCTCAGCTGAATGAAGATCCTAAATGCGCTGAGGGACAAACAAACCCCCCTCCTCTCTGGCAGAAACAGGAACTGTGTTTGGTGGTGCTTCCTTTTTAGTAAACCCTCTTATTGTTTTGGAATCTGACTGCATTATTACTGACTCTTTTTTAAAACTTTCTTTATGGGGTATCAAAAGTAAGTAAGGATTATTACTGACTCTAACCATCATTCACTGACAGCATCATTAACGGGGTTTATAACAGAGTCAGGGAAACACCTAATGGATATGTGGCTTTAATTATGCATTTAAATACAGATATACAGAGGTGTAAAGTAACTAAGTAGCCTACATGTATTCAAATACTGTACTTTTGTGAGGTACTTGCACTTTACTTGAGTATTTCCATTGTATGCTACTGTGTACTTCTACCAATTTTGGGTAAAATAAAGTATACAAACAAATAGATCAGTGCAGTTCCACAGACTGACCAGCAGGTGTCAGGCTGTGGCCACTAGAGAGGAAAACTAATGCAGGAAACACGAGTCAGAGTAACATATCAATATGTATATATCCTCGCCATGCTTTTGTGTAATGTTGATCAGTAATATAACGTGCAGTTAAAGCCTTCTACTTGTACTCAAGTACAAGATCTGTGTACTTCTACTTTGACTCGAGTACAAGACCCGAGTACTTCTACTTTTACTCAAATTCAAGATCTGAGTACTTCTCTTATATATGAGAACACTTCATCAGATCCTGTTCAATGGATCTTTTCTCCATTAAACGAAACTCTGCTCTACCTTGTGCTCAGAGACACATGTGACACATGCCTCAGGTGTTTATCGATCCTAAACGACGTCATTATTCAGTCGGTTATAGATGTATCGCGTTTCACTCACCCTGTTTGGAGAAGATCTCCTGTCTCACATAAAGCGGTCATTAATGTCGGAGCATCTACAGTAGATCTCTGCGCGCACTGCTGAAGTTTTTCACTGTGCATTTAAATTGAGAATCCTCCTCTCTCCTCTCTGAAGTCTTTGAGCTGATTTGTCCCACTTTTTAATTTAGAGTTGCTGTTTCAGCGGTAATTTAGTGATCCTCAAAACTCAAAATCCCCATGACTACACGTCGGTAGCGTTGATGATATCATATGGTGTGATTTGATTGGTCAAAAGCTTCCCTTGACATGACCCTGACCCAGGGACGTGCACAGACATTTGGAGGGGCTATTGCTCAAAACTGGAAAAAGGGCCAAGGTCCATATCTCATTAAAATATCTAATGTTAGTAACTATTAAAGAACAAATGGGGACAATTCTGTTTTAGTGTAGTTTGACCATTGTAACTGATGTGCAGACATACTGATAAAATAGGGCTTCTAACTAATTCCCTTAAATAAATGAAACCAGTTCAATATGCATTATTCTTATCGTTCTTTATGAGCGCAGTAATGGTAAGGTATCTAATTACTTATTTATTTATTTAGTATTCCATAACTTAATAACAGAGAAGGGTGCAGTCGAAAAATCAGCTCCTATCGTCTAATCCTATCCACTATTCCTTGACCTGTGTGGAACGTCACGGAGGAATAGTGGATAGGAGAATTAAAAAGGAATTACAGTAGGAGAAGAGACTGCGGTGCTTTGAGAAACATACAAAAGCATTGTACACAATTTAAACCAATCAATGTTGTGTAATTAAAGGTGGGGTAGGTAATTTTGGAGAAACCAGCTCGAGTGCGCTAGAATTTGAAAATACACAGCCGGAAGAAATCTGCCACTTCCTTCCAGAGCCCCTCCTCCAACACACACGAACGCGCACATGACCAATGAGGGCACGAGATAAGTTTGTGCCCAGATGGAAGGCTGACAGGCAGGTAGGCCATCCAGTTACTTTAGCCGGCTCAGATGATTGGTCATGCTTTTTACAGCGCCACGGCTTCCACTGATGATATTTATTATGGATTATTTGTGAAAGCACTTCAGATATTCAGTGCTATCGGGATGTTAAGAGCATTCCATGGAATATAAGAAAAAGTGTATCTCGAGCCGGTTTCTCAAACTTACCTACCCCACCTTTAACAAGGATAATCTTGTGTTTTTGAGTTGATGAGTAGCGCAGATATCACTGTAAAATCAATCAACAGTAAGGAAAATACTTACAGATGAAGCACTCCAGATCAGACTCAGGTGGGTG